CACTGCCTCCTGCACACCCCCTACTGGGGATGTGCCCACAACAAAGGTATATGCCCTTGACCGGAATCGAACCCGGGACCCCTCAGTCCACAGGCCGATGCTCTATCCACTGAGCCAAACTGGTTAGGGCCAGAGGGTTTATTTTTTATTTTCATTTTTATTGATTGATTATTTTAGAGAGAGGAAGGGAGCGAGAGAAACATCAGTGTGTTGTTCCACTTACTATGCTCTCTTTGGTTGCTTCTTGTCTGTGCCCTGACCAGGGATCCAACCTGCAACCTTGATGTATCAGGAGGAGGTTCTAACCCACTGCCCTGTGTGCTGCCTGTCAGGGTCCCTCAACAAAACCCCTCTGACATGCCCAGGCCCCTGCTGTGGGTCAGAGCTCCTCTGCCACAGCGAAGGTTTGGGTTCCATTCTGTCAGGGCACCTACTTAGGTTTCAGGTTTGATCCCTGGTGGGGGCTGACTGCTGCTCAGGAAGTGACCGAGGACAGTTGAGGTCTTTGTGCTCTAGTCATTAGGCAGGGAGCTGGGGTTTCATTGCCGACCTGGCCGACTCCAATCCCCACTACCCTGGTCCTCCATTGAGGACGACTTCAACTATGGCAGCTGTGTGACCTCCACCAGTGTACACATCCGCATGGGTAGGTTGCCCTCCCGGGGCTCGCCAGGCCCTGCTGCTGCACAGTCGCCAGGGAGGCAGATTTCGGGGTTCCCAGGGAGAGCGCCCTCCTGGCCAGACTCCCAGGGAAAGTGGGGTCCTGAAGGAAAAGGACTTTGCTCTGCCTCCCTTCGGGGCTCCCGGCCAGAGCAGAGCGCCAGTCCTGCACAGGGCTCAGAGGGGAGAGTCACCCAAGGAGGCCTCCTAGCTAGGTGTGAGAAAACAAAACTGGAGCCCTTCCTCCTTGAACCCTGTCTTCTTTGGTGTAGAAAGGGATAGATGAAAGCCTCAGCAGCCTTACTGGCTCATCTTTAAATGAAGATGTTACTTATTTTTGGTGAAAATAAGTTTATTGTGTAATCAATATTGTATAATCAGTGTGATTACACAATAACCTGCATGAGCTATCTGCTGAGATGTTTGTGCTTTAGGTCATGTGAACACATTTTATTTTATTTGACACAGCCTCAATGCCCCAGCCTCCAGCGGCACGCAGCCACACCCACCCAGACTAATTTGCATATTACCCTTTTATTAGATAGATTATTAGGTAGAAGACTGGTGCAGTGGTCGGCAAACTGTGGCTCACGAGCCACATGTGGCTCTTTGGCCCCTTGAGTGTGGCTTTTCCACAAAATACCAATTTCTGCACATGAGCCATGAAGTTTCAATCACACTGTACATGTGCGCCCGCACGTGGTATTTTGTGGAAGAGCCACACTCAAGGGGCCAAAGAGCCACATGTGGCTCGCGAGCCGCAGTTTGCCAATCACTGCGGCTAGTGGCCCATTGCATGAAGATTTGTGCAATAGGCCTTCCTTCCCCTGGCTGCCGGCACCGGTTTTCCTCCGGCACCAGGGACCCAGGCCTTTGGTCCAGCCGCAGCAGCTAGGCTTGGCTTATGGTTGCTGGCACCGGTTTTCCTCCAGCACCCAGGACCCAGGCCTTTGGTCTGGCCGAAGCAGCGAGGCTTGGCTTCTCCACTCTGGCTGCTCCCAGCCCCTCCTTTTTATTTTATTTTCCAGCTCCTCCAGCGGAGGCCAGGGCTGGCTGGAAGCCTGGGTCGGGGCGACCCAGGCTTCCAACCACTCCTTGAGCGGAGTCCAGGGAGCAACCCAAGCATCCTGCTCACTCCAGCTCCGTGGCCGCACCATCTTCAGTCATCGTCAGTCTTCAATCTGCACCTACGTATGCAAATTAACCGCCATTTTTGCTGGATTAATTTGCATAGTTGCTCTGATTGGCTGGTGGGTGTAGCTGAGTGGCAGGGTGATGGAGTGATGGTTAACTTGCATGTTTCTCTTTTATTAGATAGACTAGGGGCCCGGTGCACAAAAATTTGTGCACTCGCGGGGGGAAGGGGGGGTCCCTCAGCCCGGCCTGTGCCCTCTCGAAGTCTGGGACCCCTCGGGAGATAACGACCTGCTGGCTTAGGCCTGCTCCCGGGTGGCAGAGGGCAGGCCCAATCCCTAGGTGCAGCCCCTGGTCAGGCTCAGAGCAGGGCTGATTGGGGAGTTGGGGCGC